CCCTTCTAAACCCAGCCTGGACTTCTGGCAGTTCTCTGCTGATGTACTGTTTCAGTCGTTTTTGGATAATCATCAGTAGAATCTTGCTTGCATGTAAAATCAATGATATTGTTCTGTAGTTTCCACACTCAGTTGGGTCGCCCTTATATTAGGTATTAGTGTCATGACAGAAGTCCAAAATGAAGGCTACACAGTGGAGTAGACTTGGGGGGAGGGATTATATAACAATGAAAGAATTTATCTTTTCTTTTTCAAAGAGAAAAGTGAACTGTGGGCGAGGGGTGGGCAGGGAGAAAAGTGAAACAATGAATGAATAGAAATACTAAGTCTCTGTAAACTTTCATTAAAATTAATAATTAAAAATGTGGGGAAAAAACCCTAATTGGTTGTTACTAAAAAATTTTCAGGAAGTACCATATGAACAAGAACCAATATTATACTGCATGTATACTGCATTATACTGTATGTATACTGCACTGAAACAGAGGAGGGAGAAAACTGTTTAAAAGAGATTTATGACTAGGTATTTCTGTCATCACAGGAGTCTAGAGTGAGGGCTACATGGTGTAGGGGACCTGGGGGAGGGTTTGTAAAACAATGAAAGAATTCTGTCTTTTACTTTTCCATAATTTTTGACTCATGTACTTATAACTTGTTAGTCAAATTTGTGTCTTCTAGGTTGCAACACCCCCATGATACATCTTCAAGGATATGAACATGTACGACCAAGCACAATCAATAAGAGTGCATCTAAATTCCAAAATCAATCTCCATAACAGTCTATGTGTTTCCTACTGCCAAAGGGGCCCTTTAGAGTAGTGAGAGAAGATCTTCACCCTGAAACCCACAGCGTCCCTTTTCAGCGGGAAGTAGCTGGGAGAGTGCGCCGCGCCATCCCCTTTTCCTTGTGGATCAGGGTGAGGTCTCTCTCAGGGAGGAGTGATAGGGAATGGCAAAGGACACACGGACAAGGGAGGTTGGTCGGGGCTGGCTTTGACAGGCACTGTGGCAACTGGACAATTGGAACAGACATTCGGATGGCGGGGAGGAGGGTGGAGAGAATGGTTCGGCGATGAAGGGGTGAAGGCCCAAGGTCCCTGTAAATGTTCATTAAAACTAATAAAATTTAATAATAAAAATTAAAAAAAAAAAGAACCAACATTAATGAAGAAAGAAGTTCAAGCTGCATTGAAAACATTGGCCAAAAAGTAAGACACAGGAATCAATGGAATGTCAATTGACATATTTCAAATGACAAATGCAGCCAAAGATGTGCTCACCAGTCTGTACCACAAAATTTGGAAGATATCTGGCCAACTGACTGGAAGAGATTCATGTTTGTTCCCATTCCAAGGAAAGGTTATCCAAGAGAATGAATGTGGAAATTATTGAACAATATTATTAATGTCACATGAAAGCAAAATATTGCTGAAGAAAGATCATCCCAAAACAGCCTAAACAGCCCATTGACAGAGAACTGCTAGGTAGCACAATTTCTTACCATTAATACAAAAGAACTTTATAGTAGAAAAAGGGATATAAATGCTGATATCAGATGGATTGTGGCTGAAAATAAAGACTATCAGAAGACTGTTTCTTTTTGTTTTGTTGGTTACTAAGAGGCATTTGACTGTGTTACAACAACTACAGTTAACATAGAGAAGAATGAGAATCCCAGAATACTTAATTGTGCTCATGTGTGACTTAAACCTAGACTAAGAAGCTGCTGATCAATCAAAGCAAAGGAACATTACTTGTTAAAATAAAGGTGTGTGCCAGGGGGGAAAAAATAAAAAAAAATCAATCAATTAATCAATCAATCAATAAAAGAATACTGAGCCTGATAGCATTAAAACACTGAGCTAATGCTAGTCAAGCTATCTGTTGTAACATGTAAAATAACAGCTTTTTCTATTTGAAACCACTTTTCTGGTTATCTGTTGTTCAATGGTGAACACTTTTAATTAACTAATAAAAATACAGCGTCAGGTAATCCTTTTATATTTGATGAGCCATTTTGTACATATAAAAAAATACAGCAAGCAAACAAAGAACAACAACAAAACTAAATGTAAATTCTTCTCCACAAATTATTTTCTTTACCAATAGTTTTGGATAGGTTAAAAGCTTCTAACATAAACTGGAAATCATTTTTCTCACATTTTAAACTTAGACATAGTAAGACTAATGCATGAGTCATGAAAAAAATGTACAATACCCAATTTTGTCTTCAGAGTCTTCACATTTTCAAGTTCTTGTTCTAACTCCACTATATTGTATTCCACCGATGATGTGAGCCCTGTTCAAAGCAAAAGCATTTTAGAAATTTGACAACAGAACCCCACAGTATACAACTGTTTGTTTTCAGATTAAGTTAAAATATAAAATTGTTGTTGTTGTTGCTGAATGCCGTCAAGGTGAGCACGACTCATAGCAACGCTATGAACAAAAGACCTGAAGACTTTCTATAACTGTCGTCATGTCTCAAAGTTCAGAGTTTCCAGAAGCATGTTGTTTAGGAAGTGGGTGCTTCTCCTGCTTCCAAAATATAAAATAACACCCTGCAAATCCTAATTATTAGTTAGAAAAAGCAAAGGCTACTATGATTCAAACACACACACACACACACACACACACACACTACCTACTTTTTAGCACTACATTTTCCATATATTTGTTAATTTATTCTCCAGGTTTCTTAGGAAGTTTTTTACCTTTAAAATATTATTTTATCTATTATTCATTTTTTTTAATTAGGAAAGCGTCATGTGCTCATTTTAGAAAAGGAAAAGAAAATCAAGAACTTGCCTCTCTTTCATTGTCCTCATCTCTCAAGTGTTAACTTAGTTTATACTTCCATATCCTTCTCTATATTCACAGAAATAAATACACAGAAATAATATAGCATTTTTTACATAATAAAAATGAGGTCATGTCATAGTCACTACTATGCTACTTAAATTCCTCTTTAACAAGTTGATAGGTAACTCTAACACCTTTACAGATGAATATTATTACACGGTGTTGTTGTTAGGTGCCCTCAAGTTAATGTGATTCATAGAGACTCTGTGAACAACATATGTGAACCCTACCCTATTCTGTACAATCCTAATAACTTCTGTCATGCTCACAGTGGTAGTCACCAGGCCAATCCATCTTGCTGAGCATCTTCTTCTATATCTCTGACCCTCCATCTTTTCCAGCATGGTGTCTTTCCCCTAGGATTGGTTTCTACTGAGAATATGTCCAAAGTAAATGAGATAAAGTTTCACGCTTGTTTCTAAGGAGCACTCTGGTTGCACTTCCTTCAAGACAGATTTATTTGTTCTTTCGGAAGTCCATGAGATATTCAATAGTCTTCTCCAACACCCTAATTTAAAGATATTGATTCTTCCGTCTTCTTTATTATTCACCTTTCAGACACATAAGAAAGAAGTGAAAAGATCATTACTTGGATCCGGTGCACCTTAGTCTTTAAACTGACATTACTCTCTGGCACTCTGGATTGGTCCTTGACAGCATATTTCCCCAATGCAACATATCTTTTTATTTCTTGACTACTAGTATCATAAGTATTGATTGTGGATCCAAGTAAAATGGAATCATTGACAACTTCAATCCTGCCTCCATCTACCATGATGTTGTCTTTTAGTCCAGTAGTGATAAGTTGTTTTCTTGATGAAGCTGTAACCTATATTGAAGGTTGTAGAATTTGAAATTCGGTAGTAATTTCTTCAAGTCTTCATTTTCTGTAAGCAAGACTGTGTCATCTGCACAATGTAGACTGTGGACATGTCTTCCTCCAGTTCTGATGCCACCTTCTTCTTCATATAGTGCAGCTCTTTGAATGACTTTCTTAGTATATTGATCAAATAGGTATGGAGGAAGAATACAACCCTGACACAGCTCTTTCTTGATTTTAAACTGGAAAAGACACATGCATTTGCAATTACAATCCAGAGGTGCCCAAAGTTCATCTCCAGAATATTCCTTCTTATAGGCTCTAAACTCCATAATATGAGCGTACAACAATTTCATGAATGAAGGTTTTCTCAATTTTTCTGATACTATAAGAGTATTGCAATAAACATTTTTGTATGCATATCGAGCATTCTAGTTCTATTATTACCTTAAACATATTCCCAAACTGGGTCAAAAAAGTTTGTTCATATTAGGAGATATTTCCAAGCTACTTCCCCTTATCATTGTAATAGTTTATATTTATACCAGTAACTTTTGGTATCTGGTTTCAGAACTAAATTTTTAACAGATTCTTAGATACAATACTGAAAACATAATAAAAGGCAAAATGGGTAAATAGAATTTCACCAATATTGAAAGCTTTTGCTCATCAAAGGACTTTGTCCACAAAGTAAGTGATAATCTAGAGATTAGGAGATAATTCAGAGAACTATAATTATATTCTTTATAAGAGCTTAATATCCAGACTATATAAAAAACTTTCAAAACAAAAATAGATAATCCATTCAAAATGGGCAAAGGACTTGAATAGATATTTCAACCAAGAATATATACAAATATCCAACAAGCAAATAAAAAAATGCTCAAGTTTATTGCTGTTTTTATGTACCAATGAGCCAGAATTAACTCATAGCTGACCCTTCAGTGGATTATCGGAGGCAATTTAATCACACAGAAATTGACTGCCCTTCCTTCTCCTGGGGAGATGCTGGTGGATTTGAGCATCATACCTTTAGGTTGGCAGCACAACTCCTTTAACAATAACAATCACTCATTCAAAAACTACAAATAAAAACCATAATAACAAATCACTGTTCATTGGTGGTTACTAGAGATAGGCAAAGGAGGCAGAGAGAATCACCCTTTAGAAAGTAAACATTTGTTGTTGCTGTTAAGTGCCCACTTGTCAGCACCAATTCCCAATGACCCTATGCACAACAGAATAGAACCTTGCCCAATCCTGTGCTATTATCACACTGTCTGCTGTGCTCAAGTCCATTGCTGGAGTCACTGTGTCAATCCAGCTTGTTAAGGGCCATGCATTCCTTTACTGAATTTTACAAACATTATGGGTACTGGTCCTTTCGAATAATATGTGCTAAGTACCATCCTTGCTTCAAAGGAGCAATCTGGCTATACTTCCACCAAGAAAGATTTGTTTATTCTTCTGAAATTTACTATCTATTAGGTATTTTTCCCCCTCAACTCAAAGGCATCAATACTCTGGTCCTCTTAATTCACTATCTAATTTTCACATGGCTCAAGAAGTGATGGAAACATAATATAGCTTGCCACAAATGCATGTCAGATGTTGTTTTTTGTTTGTTTTTAAATTTTTTAATTGAGATTTTAATGAAAGTTTATAAAGAACTTGGGTTTCCAATCGTTCATTGTAGCACATTTCCCTACCTGCCATCCTCTACCCAGAACACTTTTTTCTTTGGAAAAAAAGTTCTTCTATTATTATATGGTCCCCGCTCCCCCGCCCTAGACCACTTTACTATGCAGCTCTTATTCTAGTATGCATCTCAGTTTTACAGTGACGCCTCTGTTTTTGAACACTTTAAAGAAGTCTTTAGCAAGTGTTAATTGTGGATTCAAGTAAAATGAAGTCAAAGACAATTTCAATCCTTTTTATTATTATTAATCATCAGGATGTTGTTTATTGCTTCACTTGAGAAGATTTTCATTCTTTTATGTTGAAAGTAATCTACATTGAAGGCTAGTCTTTGCTTACTTTTAGCAAGCAAAGTTGTGCTATCTGCGTATCTCCGACCGTTGATGAGTTTTTCTACAATCCTGATCCCACATTATTTTTTTCACATAGTCCAGTTTCTCACATTATCTGCTCAACATACAGAATGAAATAAATATGATAAAAGGTACAACTCTGATATACACCTTCCTAGATATTAAACCACACAGTATCCCCTTGTTCTGTTCTAATGACTGCCTCCTTATCTTTGTGCAGATTCTGCATGAGCAAAATTAAGTGTTTGAGAATTCCCATTCTTCCTGATGTTATCCATAACTTATTCTAATGTACACAGTTAAATGTCTTTGCATAGTCAGTAAAACAAAACATCTTTCTGTATTATATATTTTCAGCCAAGATCCACCTGACACCAGCAGTGTTATACTTCATCCCATGTCCTCTTCTGAATCTAGCTTTAATTTTTAGCAGTACCTTGTTGATGTACTCCTCTAGGCATTTTCTGAATAACCTTTACCAAGATTTTAACTGCATATGATATTAATGATACTGCTGAATAATTTCAACATTCTGTTGCATTGTATTTTGGAACGGGCACAAATGCAGATGTCTCCCAGTTAGCCAGGTAGCTAGCTACCTTCCAAATTTCTTGGTAAAGACGAGTGTTAAAGACCACATCTGTTGAGTGAATCACCTCAACTGGTATTTCGTAAATTCCTCGAGTTCTATTTTTTGCCATTGTCTCCACTGAAGTCTAGACTACTTCTTTCAGCTCTATTGGTTCCTGAGCATATGATACCTCTTGAAATGAGTAACCATTGACCAATTCTTTTTGGCACAGTGACTGTATTTTCCTTCCAATTTATTTTTCTATCTCCTAAATCATTCAGTATTTTGTCCTTGGCAACTTTAGCACTGCAACTCAAGGTCTGTATTTCTTTCTCAGTTCTTTCATCTCAAGAAATGGTGAGTGGGTTTTCTCTTCTGTGTTTCCGACTTCAGGTCTTTTCAAGTTTCATTATGATATTTTGCTTTTTCTTCTTGATCTGTCCTTTAAAATATTCTGCTGAGTTTTCTAATGTCACTATTTACTCTTTTTCACTTTAGCTCCTCTATACACTAAAGAAAGTTTAAGAACCTCTTCTGACATCCACTTTTGGTTTTTTTCCTTTCTTTTACATTCTTCATATAAGATATCCTTAAGGTTATCTCAGGATTCATCCAGTCTTTGGTCATCAGTGTTCACACAATCAAGCCTATTCTTGATACGGTCTCTAAAATTCAGTTGGAGCACATTTAAGATTGTATTTTGGCTCTGGTGAGCTTGTGTTTTCTTCATGCTTGAGGTGAACTTTCATATGACCATTTGCTAGTCTATTCCACAGCTGGCTCTGGCCTTGCTGACTGCTAATACTGAGCTTCTCTACTCTTTTTCTATAGATGTGATCCATTCAATTTCTGTGTATTCCATCTGGTGAGATATATAGTCACTATTATCTTTTTTTCTTTTTTAAAAAAAGATAATTACCATGAATAAGTTGTTGATACAAAATTCTATCATATGCTATCTAAATTCACTTCTGTCACCAGAAACTTATTTAATA